CCTTCTGGCGTTCAAGCTCCCCCTGGCAAGGTTTGTTAGCTGAAGAAATGCCTATATGGTTTGAAACAAGCTAGCAGGCAGTGGCATTCCAAATTATCCACTTCCCTGATCTCTTTGGGTTATGCTCAATCCTCTGCTGATCATTCATTATTTATTAGACGTACTGTTGTCTCCTTTACAGTGCTTTTTATCTACGTGGATGACATTGTCTTGACTGGCAATGATTTTGATGAAATCCGTCGGGTTAAGGGTGCTTTGGACATTCAGTTCCGAATTAAGGACTTGGGATCTTTGAGATTTTTTCTGGGTCTTGAGATTTCTCGAAACAAAGATGGGATTGCTATTAATCAAAGGAAATACGCTTTAGAGATTCTATCTGATGCTGGTCTGTTGGGAGCCAAACCATCTTCCACTCTCATGGTTCATTCTCTTCATCTCTCTCGGAATGATGGTACTCCTCTTTCTGACAGTGATGCTTCCTCTTATAGACGTCTCATTGGCCGTCTCCTATACCTCACCACCACACGTCCAGACATTTGCTTTCCTGTTCAACAGTTAAGCCAATTTGTTGGAGCACCTTTTTCCAGCCATCGTGATGCAGCCACCCGCATTCTCCGTTACATAAAGGGATCTCCTGCTACTGGTTTGTTCTTTCCTTCCCAGAATTCATTTCAACTCAGTGGTTTTACTGACTCCGATTGGGCCTGTTGTCCTGATACAAAGAGATCCATCACGGGCTTGTGCGTTTTTCTGGGTTCTTCCTTGATTGCTTGGCGCTCCAAAAAGCAACCCATTGTTTCTCGTTTGTCCAGTGAGGCTGAATATCGTGCTCTTGCTAGCATGACTTGTGAGCTTCAATGGATCACTTATCTTCTTCATGATCTTAATGTTCCTTGTACCGCTGTTGCCCATGTTTACTGTGACAATGTTTCTGCCATCTATCTTGCCAAAAATCCAACGTTGCACGAACGTTCCAAGCACATCGAAATAGACATCCATGTCACCCGTGAAAAACTTCAGGCTGGTCTACTTCGTCTCTTCCCTGTGGCTTCTTCAGACCAACTTGCTGATGTGTTCACTAAGTCTTTACATTCTTCCTCTTATTTTTCCATCATTTCCAAGCTCGGCCTTCGTGACATTCACCGTCCGGCTTGTGGGGGGTGTTGAAGGATACAATACGCACTGCTAATGCTGATGAAGTTGATAAAGCCACTTAGCTGACATGGACTCACACTGATGCATATGCTATGTAACTGACGTGGAGTTAGTTCATTAGTTCCATCATTTACGGAGATTAGTTGTATTAGTTGGTTTCAGTTAATTTCTGTTGTATTAGTTAGTGCTTATGCTGAGTATCAGTTTCTGTATAGTTTGCTTTACTTCATATATAAGTTGTAATAGCTGTAGCCATTTCATTATTGAAATCATTTTCTTCATATATGAAAATACAGAAAGTTTTGTTTCTTAAGAGAAAGGAAGAAAGATGGGAACGCGCACACTTTGCTCCGGCGGAGATGCCAACGAACTGGAGAAGGAAATTTGGCCACCAAAAAATGTGCTTCAAACCACCCACAACTGACTTACGAAAATGGAAGAAATGAGGGACATAAGTGAGAAGAAGAAGAGAGGAGAACGCGAGGGAGGGAGAGGCAGAAGTGAGCAGGAAGAAGATAAGAAAGGAACGACTCTGAATGAATTCCGTCAACAGGGGTCATGAGACACTAGCCACGTGGTGTCAGTCTCGTGAAGTTACATGGAGGGTTTGCGACGCGTCACAAATGATGACGGCACACATGTGCAACTCGTCACTTGGACTGACATGAATGGTGTAGAATCTTACGTGGCATCTGGTGATGTCTTGGTCAGTGGCGGGACTCAGCTCGTCAGTCAAACCAACGTAATTGATCGTGCTCTACTCTGGACAATCTTTCGAAATGTGTTTCATTATGAAGATACATTTAAAAAATAAACTTAGTACGAAACTTTTGCCATATCTCGTCCCTTTCTTCTCTTTCTACTTTTATTTTCCAATTGTGAAATTTCAATCCGTAAAACACATCGCTGTCAATGTTCTCACTATAGAAAAAAAAGTTTCTACATATGTAATTATAAATATCACACTCAATTGAATAAATAATTAAGAAGTTTTTATATATTTACAAACTTTTTTATTTATAAACTACATTATATCTGACCGGTAATACACTTTTAAGTAGAGTATTATTATATTACCGGTCAGACATAGTGTAGTTTGTAAGTTTATAAAAAAAAATATCAATATAACCTTACTCTTTGATAAATTATTTAAAATAATAATGCAAAAAAATTTATTGGTTAACTCGTGATTGACAATTTCAAAACCACTTGAGCGTAAGAACTAAAAAGATAAGTTCATATAAAAATATACAATTTAAAATTATACAAAACTTCAATAATTGATGACCAAACTTAGCTTTTGGAGTTTGGTATCTACTGTATAAATATTGAAATGTAGGTACTTACAGGAAATGAGAAGGCAATTTATTTATTTTTTGTTTATTCAAAATGAAAAAATTAAAATAATTGATAAATATGTTAGTAGTTATTTGAAGTTTAAAAACAATTTCATTATTTAAATAAAATTATAAAAATAAGGAAAGAAATGACACCAAGATACTAGAGTTTATCATTATTGGAAAGATAGAAGATGTATGTCGTTCTAATTTGATAATCTAGGCCCACTTGTCACACCCATATTTCCTTTTTGAATTTAACTTCCGAACACGTAAAAATAAAATAAAACATAATATAAAGGTTAGAGAGAAATTTCGACATAGACGTGCATCAAAATCCTAGCTAATGGAATTGGAATCCTTACACATATATGCGCAAAGATTTCACCATGCAAAATTCTTACCATTATTTTAGCTTTAATTTGCCAACGTATAGGCATACCCCCGCCAAACAGCAATGCTTCCTTGCCACTTTGTGTATCAGCAATCCTGGCTTAACTAGCCTCAAGTGTGTTGCCTTCATGGTCCTCATTAGTCGATGTACTTAATATTTAGCTTCGTTTTCTTCAATACACGAATTGATGGTCTGCATAGCATTATTGTTAAATCCGATCCGGGCATCGACCTAGTCAGTATACTGGGTTATTGGGTCATTGGGTCATTGGTCGAACTGATAGGTCACTGATTGGACCGATTGACTCGAATATATATAGTTATATAAAAATATGAACATATAAATTCAATTATATTCTCCATATCTAAAATGAATTAAACAAAATTCACTAAATAAGCTAAAAAATATGAAGCATAAATAAATAAAAATGCATTCTATTACTATGTCAATTTAAATTGCAACTTAGAATCCCAATAAACATATCTCTCAATGACATTGAACTCATATTTTTCAAATTCAACTACATTAAAATGATATATGTCACATCTCTAACTTATTATTCCACAAATTGCTTCAGTATTGAAAACTAAGAGGTCATTGTAGAAGAATATACAAACAAATAAAATTACAAAAAGTTTTTAAAATGAATTTTATATTTTTTTATAAGATGAAACATTTTTGGTTTTTTTATTTAAAAAATGCATGACCCGACCGGGTCACCGGGTTTGGCCAAAATTTCACTGGGTTTGACTGGGTCGATGCATGACCGGTTTAATGCTTGACCCGAACCGGTCTGATGATCAGTTCACTAAGTTTTGAGTCGACCCGACCGAATCGGGCCGGATTTTATAACAGTGCTGCAGAGAAATGAACCAACTCAAATCGATAAGAACAAGAACGGAGGAAGAAACTCAAGGCTCCCACTACTTATCTACCCTAGTCATCATAAGATTTCATATACAAGGTCCATTTGTCTTCGCAAATTGAAACCAGAAGACTTGTCTATTATATCTCATCTTAATATAAAGCAGCAGTCTAATGTTTTTTTTTTTTCTATATTACTGATAAAATGCTCTAAGCCTCTAAAGTCATGTTGTGTAAACTGGACCGGACCGGACCGGTAGTTCAACCAGTTAACCCGAAAAACAGAAACCCAACTAATTCGGTCCAGTTTTGGTGTTTTTTCATAAACTTATTACTTGAACTCAGACCACATGCAGAACAGCAGAAGCTTAGTAAGAGACAACAACCACAATATGTTTGACTAATTTGAATCTTTTGGTTCAATATCTAAAGGTGTCTTCGATTCTGCGTGAGTGTTTCAGCATCGAATTGTGAACTTGGGAAGCAGATTACTTTCTCTAAATTCCATTGAACAACGCAGCTTACAATTGCATAATCGAGAATAAACAATGCGTGAAGTAAATGAATAATTATAGAAGTGCAGCAAATTAAAGACAAAGAGTAAAGGAAAAATAAATGTTCGTTTGACTTCAATGCCCAAAAAATAATCAAGTTCACCAAGGTCTTTAAGAGCAAAAGAGCCTCACTGTCCCCCGCTTTAAAAAGTGGAATTAAAATAAATAAAAAAAACACAAAAAGGTAAACAAAAAATGGGTCTGTGTAATTTACACGCTTCTAGCCTAAATGGCTCTTTTGTGAGGGGGCGTGTAGAGATATATAGTCCCACATTGATTGGATGGGCAACTAATATGGCCTTTATAAGACTTTGGGCACTCCCATCCTTTGAGTTAGCTTTTGGGATGTCCCAAGGTTCTTAACAAGAATAAATACTGAGTACTTGAGGGAACTCGTGCTCCTTCAAATAGCATGCGAGGATTCTCGGTTTCAACCCTCCAACTAATGGACCTTGTATCTTATTTTTAAATCTTAACTAGAAACTGCTATTATCCTGATAACATGACACGTTCGGCATCCAAAACAACTTCCCAGTACTGAGAGCGTGGCATTACAGCAGCTGCTATCCATTTCTAATCTTGTAAGAGCTTATAAAACCACCTTTTGACGTCATGGGTTCTGGCTTCCACGGCACTTTTATGTAAGAAAACCTCAAGTTTTTCTTCTAGTTGACATTCGAGCAAGGATTTGGTACATTACAATTGGTTTTCCACTTCAATGGCCTTTTCCACAATCTTTGCGATAAATTCATATTCGTACCTACAAAAGTACATGTACTTTTAATTCATTTATGCAAGTTTTCGCTTGCTTTCTATTGATCAGAATTTATTTCATCAAAATAATGAAATTAAGTTTGGCTAATATATTAATTTTCACAAAAACAGATTGCCATACAAAACACAAAACTGCACTCAAACCTGAAACAAAACTTTAACAACACACCATACCCAGGGGCGGAATTTTTTTGTTTGTGGGTGGGGGGTTTGGTGGCCGCCCCCCTAAAATTTTTGATTTGCTTAACTTTAAGAAGATTTTTTTCTATGATGGGCTTTGAACTTTCAGTTTCAAGCTTCCACTTTCCTGACCGAGTATCGAGCCCATATCATAATAATTCTACTAAAATGTAGTTTGGCTGAGATTCTTGTTGAGTCCTGTCAGATTGTCGGGTACAGGAGAAATTTTTTTTTGTGCTCGATTTTCAAAAACATGATTTTTACATTCAGTTTACAATAATATTTGGAAATTAAAAATTTTAAAAAATTTAGTTTCCTGAGAATCCTGGAGAATGACGTGTACCAAACGCCGCCTTTAGATTTATATCCTTGGTATTCTGTAGGGAAACCTGGAAAGCTTTTCCGACAAGAAACCAGATTTGCTGCTGATAATAGGTTTTGTACAAGATTTGAAACTGTTTTCGAGCAAAACATTTCTAAGTTTCTAATTTAACACCGAAAATTGGCTTTTAGATTTTTACCAGCAGCACCCAAGCAAAACAATTTTGCTTTAGTTAGACCAAAAACTCATTTGCTCTCTTTTTAGTTTTTACAACCAATTAAGTTGTCGGGTATGAGTTATTCTGCCATAAGACAAATTTCCACTTTTACTAAGAAAATTAAAAAGGTTTTTGACTTAGATTGCACGCCAGATGCTTGTGTTTATAATTCTGGAACTTATTACTAGAGCTACGTGTCTCGATCATTTTTTGGTTTGGCTTTGGCATGTTATAGTTTCTGCAGTATTCATATTTCAATTATGTAGGCAGTGTAGTAAGTGTGAAAAAAAAAAATCTGGTGACAGGAGTTGGAGCATGTTTGATTTTTTTTTTCTGCAATATTGATACTTCACCAGGAAAAATTCCTGGTTCGGCCACTGACCATACCCCAAGTCTCCCTCAAGAAAGATTCTCCGGTTGACATTGGTCATGAAGGATGTATAAATTGAGTAATAATAATCATATATTCGATCCGAAAGAATTGTGGTTGATGTTGGATCCGCAAGTGAGTGATCAACTATGGAGAAGACGATGGGGTGGCATTTCTAGTGCAAGGTTGCAATAGTTTTGAGCCAAAAGAGGTGGATAGTGTACAATGTGTATATGAAAATCAGGGTTCTAGAAGTGTGAACATGGGTGATGCATATATGTATTTATAGGGAAGAAAATTACCTCAGCACTTGACTTGGGATGAAAGTCTCCCCCTTTGGGTCTGAGCCTTCGAGGGACGAAGACTGATCTGGAGTTCCCTTAAAGTTATATGGGTCGAATCTGATCCGGATGGGGATTCGGCCCAAAACAAAGAAAAACTAAAATTAGTAGTCATTAGCATGCAACTTCATCAGCTAAAGTAATTGAAAGCATACTACAGAACTTACTTATTTTCTTGGATATGCCAACCAGTCAAGTTGGAGACTTCAGACAAAGCTGACCTCCATTTCTGCACCTTCTCAGATTCCTTTCCGAACATTGTTTCATGTGAAGACATGGCATCACCGTAACTTTTTGTTTGATTGCTTACATCCAACTGTTCAACTTCGTAAAATATCGGCCAGACCAGTTGGTTCTTTGCCTTCATACACTCAATGATCTCGACAAGCTCATCAAGACACCACGAGGAGTATGCATAGTTTTCAGATAAAACAACAATTGAGAGCCTTGATTTTTTAATTGCTTGGATAAGAGTTTGTGAAATTTCGTTTCCACCCTCCAATCCCTCTTCATCCATGAAGGTTTTGAATCCCGCGCGATGCAAAGCATCATAGAGAAATCCTGTAAAGGAATAGCGGGTATCTTCTCCACAAAAACTGAGAAAAACGTCATAGCGAGACAAGCTTCGGGTGACTTCTTCCACAATCTTTTGGATAAGTTCATATTCGTAGCCATCCCTACAAAAGTGCAAGACCTTTCCTTTGAATTCATTCATGCAGAGTTTTCGTTTTCTTTCTACTAATCAGAATTACTAGTACGGAATAATAAAATTGAGCTTGCGTAATCAATCTACCACAAAGACACAGATTGTTACACCAAATTCAAAACAAAACTTTTATCTAGTTAACAAGGTCACTATTTTTTATATATATATATATATATATCCACATGATTCGAATACTTTCGGACCATTTTCTCCCGGACTCGAACTCGAGCCAGATCGAGACCTCTGGGTCGAACAAGGTCAATTTTTAAAACGATAATTAGAGTAGGCAGATATAAATTAATTACTTAATACTTAGCAAACAATAATTGTGAAATGTACACAAACGTACCCATTTCTGAATTGCAGTCCAGACAAGTTGGCGACTTCAGACAAAGCTGACCTCCATCTCCGTACTTTCTCAGAGTCCTTTCGGGACCGATCTTCATGTCGAGCCATGGCTTCTCCATACGCACCTGTCTGACGCCTTACATCGGAGGGATCCACATCGTAGAAGATTGGCAAAACCAGTTGGTTCTTCTCCTTCCTACAGTCAAGGATCTTGACTAGTTCCTCAAGACACCACGAGGAATATGCATAGTACTTGGAAAGAACAACAATGGAAATCCTTGAGTCTTCGACTGCTTCGAGAATAGAGGATGCGATTGGGTCGCCACTCTTCAATCCACCCTCATCCATGAAGGTCTTGAATCTCTTGAGGCGCAAAGCATTATAGAGATTACCAGTGAAGGTGCGGCGGGTATCTGAGCCCCTAAAACTGAGAAAAACATCGTAGCGGTAGTTGGGTTCGTGGATGGCAATGGCCCCTTCTTTCGCCATCATCAAATATAGAATAGAAGGATATGACATGAATAAAAGCAGAGTACTGAGTACTTAAACTAAAAGGAGGATGTGGGATGCCATATATAAGAATTAAATCACGATTCAGAGGAGGAGGTCTACCCAAGTCAACCAAAAACAAAAAAACAAAAAATCACTCTTCTCCTCTGCACTATTCTTTTTATCTAAGCAACCACGAATACATATAACTCAAGCCGCCCTCACCTTTCCCAGTTCCCTCCCACTACGATCAAGAATATTAATTGTTAATATCACTCATCCAATAATCAATTTTCTATAAATTATTTAAAATAGAATAATTTATTTATTCATTTTTATTTTTATTTTGCTTAAGGGGTGTTTGGCAATTCCAAAACCAGTAGAACGTAACATTAGATATATATCTTATGAGATGAGTTCACGTATAAATAAAATTTGATTCTTTTTTTTTTTTTTGGTAGAGAATAAAATTTGATTCAAAGTAGTTTAAAACTAGCTCTAGAGTAAATCTAATTTAGCTTATAAATTAATTGGATAATAAAATTTGAATTATAAATAGGTATTTAATAAATGAACGATTAATTTTATAATTACGACAAAAATATCATTATACACATATATTAGAATATTAATAACATACAATAAATGAAATACGTACTATCATTAAATTACAAATACAGAAGCATAATATTGTTTAAAAACTTCCATATTTAAATTGTTTTTCGAATAGATTTTGAAAATAAACAACAATTAGAGGAGCGTTATTCTTATAACTTAAAAGTTTTACCATATCTTACAACCTATGTTTTCACCCGTTGATTTTCATCAATTCAACTGTTATGATTTATTGGAAATTATAATTAATTAATTAATTAATAAACATGACTCAATAAATCATAACCGTTGGATTGTCAGAAATCAACGATGAAAAAATAGATTTTAAGAAGTTGTAAAACTTTTAGGTTTTAAGAATAACTCTCCTCTTAAAAAAAATGTATATCAAAATGGATTACTAAGTAGGTTTTGTGAACATGGTACTAAGAAAAAATATTATATGATACTATGGCAAATTGTTTTTCTCTTTTTCATCATTCTTGACCAGCCTGTGTAATTTGTATTAAACCTTCAGAATTCAAAATCTCGGCATGTTTATATGTTATTTTTTAATAGTTTTATAGAAGGTGAAAAGAATTATTTTAATCCAAAAATTTAAATTATTTTAAAAATAGTATTTAAATAGGGCCTTGATTTTTCAATTTCTTAGATGAGAGTTTGTGAAATTTCGTTCCCACCCTCCAATCTCTCATCATCCATGAAGGGCTTGAATCCTTCCCTATGCAGTGCATCACAGAGATACCCTGAAAAGGAATAGCGGGTATATTCCCCCGTAAAACTGAGAAAAACATTATAGCGAGGCAAGGATTGGACAGCCGATTCCGTAATCTTATCGATCAATTCATATTCATACCTGTGAAAGCACAAGTGCTTTTAAATTCATGAAGTGTAGTCTATTCAAGCACAACCTTGGTTTTCTTACTTACTAATTAGAACTATTGAACTTGACCATGTAAAAGTATTTCTGGCCAAGCTGACTATTGGAAATCGATAATCACACACAAATTGTGAACAAAAAGAGAGAGAGAATTGACACAATAATTTACACTGGTTCATCCAATGTAGACAACGTCTAGCTTGTCTGTACTATATTCACCTTACTGCCACTCGTTACAAATCACTTGATTTACAAGAAAAATATAACTAGGGCTAGAAAATTCTAACAATAGTTATTATGGGCCTAAGCCCAAACTACTAAGAAAAAGAAAAATTACAATAAATCAGAGGCCCACAACAATATCTAGCCTCTACGGGCCTGAGGGCACTGCCCCCCCCGGATTCTCGTCCGCTCACCTGGGAGCGGGACCCTAGTTGCCTTTCTGCTGACCCCGACAACAAGGGTCCTCATCAACATGCGAAATATGAGACATACCTAATATTTTTCCATTTGGTGAATGCTTCGCATGTTTCTTCAATCTCAATGCAGCTATACGCCATTCAAACTTCCCTGAAGTCACTACCTTGGTGAGAAAATCAGCATTGTTGACCTTTGTGGCAACCTTCTCCAGCAATACAATCTTGTCTTCAATCTTCTCTCTGATGAAATGGTACTGTATGCCGATATGTTTGGTCTTCCCATATAAGTGTCGAACTTCATGTACCACGTCCTTGCGGACTGCTTCAGGCCATATAGAGATTTATTCAACTTGCAGACTAGCTCCTCTTTGCCTCTTACTATAAACCCCTCTGGTTGCTTTATGTAAATAACCTTCTCCAAATCACCATGAATCAAAGTCATCTTCGTATCCACCTGCTCAACCTCTAGGTCATATGCAGTTGCTACAGACAAAACCAGTCTTACGAAATTTAATTTTGCAACAGGTGAAAATACCTCACCATAATCAACCCCTTCTTTCTACGAATAACCCTTTGCAACCAATCGATCATTGTAGCACTCAATCTTTCCATTGGCACCGACGTTTTTCTTGAACACCCACTTGCAATCAATCACCTTTCGGTCTGCATTTAGTTTCTCCAAACTCCATGTTTGATTTTTCATCAGAGACTTCATCTCATCTTTCATTGCTTCCTCCCACTATTTGGCATCATCTGAGTTCCTAGCTTGTCTTACAGTGATTGGATCATTACCTGTAATATTCAAGGAACAACTATTATCACTAGCACAGAGAATATAGTTTTCAGGTCTATACCTCTTAGATGGTTTTCTTTCCCTTATGGACCTTCTCAGCATTGGTGCTTCAACTCCAGCCTCAGTTTCAAAATCTTCATCTTCAACTTCATTATATTCAGCAGCTTCAGAATTTGAACTTCTCACTCCAACCTGTGAGTTTACTGCATCTTCTTTCAAACCCACATCTAACTCCACAGTCTGTGGCTCTTCAAGAGCTTTAGAAAAGATCTCATTTGGCCTAGATTCCCTGAACACAATGTCTCTGCTAAAAGTTACATTTCGAGTATCAGGATTTCACAACTTGTACCCTTTGACGCCATCCTTGTACCCAATAAAGATACACTTCTCAGATTTACTGTCAAGCTTGCTTCTTCTCTCCTTGGGTACATGCACATAAACTTTGCTGCCAAACACTCTGACATAAGATACATTTGGCCTCTTCCTAAACTGTGCTTCATACGGAGTCTTCTCCTTCAAGGCCGGTGTAGGATCTGTTCTTTAGATAATAAGCAGTAGCCATTGCTTATACCCAAAACTCAGCTACCAAGTCTGAACTGCTCAGCATACCTCTTGTTTTCTCCATGAGAGACCCATTCAACCTCTCTGCCACCCTATTCTGTTAAGGTGAGTAGAGTGTAGTCTTCTGCCTTGCAATCTTATTGCTCGCACAGAATTGATCAAATTTTGTTGAACAAAACTCCCCTCCATTTGTCAATTCTCAACACCTTAATTCTTCAGTCAAACTAATTTTACACCAAAGCCTTGAACTCGCAAAAATTATCGAACAATCCATCCTTGCTGCACAAGAAATATAAAGATACCCGATTTTGCTTCCCTTGCAAGCAATGCTCGCAAAATCCAAACTCCATAAAGCAGCTCAGAATTGCATCCTCCAACTGCTTTGATGTTAGAGTCTCCAGAACTTTTCCTCCAATAGGCCCCAGCCTCCTATGTCATAACATAGCAGTGTCCTCATCCGCTTATTCAGTTATGGCGATTTCACCACTGAACATTGTGCTGCCCAACAGTTTCCACAGTTTACCATGGTGCTCTCCTCTTGCAATCACCAAAGCTCCCCGAGTCAGCTTACAAGAATACTTGTCACTGCTGAAATTAATATCTGCATCTGCCATACTACTAACGGAGATCAGATTTCTAGTAAACCCCGGAATATGCATCACGTCTGGCAGATTCTTGATTATTTCGTCATTAATCTTCAGCTTTACATTCACACGCCCCATAATAGCACGAGTCCTGTCATCTCCCATTCTAACTGTACTGCCAGAATATGATTCATAAGTGCATAACCACTCCCTGTGAGGTGTTATATGGAACGATGCTCTAGTGTCAATGATCCAGTCTTTGCAATCGCTATGACTGTCAAACGCCACCCCTGCATTATCTCCATCATCCTTCTTTGTACCAGAACAAGAAGGTGGTGGATCTTCCCGCTTCTCAGGAAGATCTAAGCTTTTACGTCTGCAATTCCTCTTCAAGTGTCCATCCTGTTTGCACCTCCAGCGCCTTACTTCATATTTATCATGGGACTTTAGTCGTCCCCTCGATCTTCCTCTCTGACCAGACTTCTATCTATCATCGCTCTTCCCTCTAATGACTAGAGCCTCATTATTAGTATCTTTAGAACCTACCATTATCATCTCGTCAGACAATATGGCAACAACAATCGTCTCGATGACAATTTATTGACGCTAGTACGGATTGAAATAATGATGTGCTCCTAAGAGTTTTGCAGTGAACACAACAAGGTGCAAGCTTTATCTTCCTCATCCATATTTATATATATAGATGAAAGTTGCGCACAAATAGTGTTAAATTCATTTAAATGAGCAGAGAAAGAATCACCTTCGCTCATCCGCAAATTATACAGCTTTCTTCGCAAGAATAGCTTGCTCACAAGTGACTTGCTTTGATAAAAGCTTCCTAGCTTTGTCCAGAGATCCTTTGCGGTCTTCTTAGAAGTTACGTTCACCAGAACGTTATCTTCCAGGCATAACCAGGCTTTATACCTTTCGATCGTCTTTGGTCCACGCCTTGAATTCCTTCAACTCGCCTCCCTCCGATATTTCGTCATTGACAGTTTTCGTTGGTATCGATGGCTTCTCATCTTCGATCACATACCATACGTCCATGTCAACGAGCAAAGCCTCCACCTTCAATTTCCATAACTCGAACCCTTTTCTTTCGAACTTTTCAACCTCGATTCGTGATTGGCCAGTCGACATCATTTCCAAAT